CCTGCAGGATGGGGCCCTGCCAGTGCTGCCGGCCGTGCTGCCCAGTGAGTGGGCGGCTTGAGGTGGACAGGAGTCTGGGCCCTGCCTTTCCAGGCACCTGGCTAACCACTGAGCCCCGGGACCCGCCGTGGCGGCCACGGTGACCGCCTGTAGGAACCCAGGAGCTCCGAGCAGGGCCTGGTGGAATTCTTTTATCTTTTTCACAAGAACTAGTTAAAGAGCCTCAGAAAAGCACTACTGGAGGAGTATTTTCACTAGTATAACTAAAGTTTAAAAAAATAAAAAGCAAATTGCACCCTAGCCGGTTTGGCTCAATGGATAGAGCGTCGGCCTGTGGACTGAAGGGTCCCGGGTTTGATTCCGGTCAAGGGCACGTACCTTGATTGCAGGCTCCTCCCGGCCTAGTCCCTGGTCGGGGCTCATGCAGGAGGCAACCAATCGATGTGTTTCTCTCATCCATGTTTCTCTCTGCCTTTCCCTCTCTCTTCCACTCTCTCTACAAATCAATGGGAAAACACCCTCGGGTGAAGATTTAAAAAAAAAAAAAAGCAAATGACTGGCCCCGCTCTCTGCATGTTCCAGGCAGGCTTGGGGTCTCCCTGTCCTAACTGCAAGGACAGCAGTGGCCGGGCAGGGCCACGGTGGGGAGACGGGGCGGGGGGGTGTCCCCAGCCCCGGCTCAGGAGCCGAATGGTGCCTGTGAGCCACCCGCAGGGCCACACAGATGTCAGCGGGTCGCTTTGTTCTGTTTAAACAGGAAGCGGAGACAGGATGACACAGACGTTCCGTCTCCTCATCTCTGCGCTCGGAGTCTGTGCTTTTTATTGAGATTTACCAGGAGCCACTGTGACTGAGTGAAAGGGGCGGAACACACACCCATCGGCCTTCTTTCCAGGAGCTCAGTGACGGGCTCACACGGAAGGAACCCCGACTAGGACCCGCCCAGGGGTCTGCACCAGCCAGCTCTGCACCGAGTAGGACCCGCCCAGGGGTCTGCGGGAGGCAGCTCTGCACCGAGTAGTCTGAGGGAGCCAGCTCTGCACTGAGTAGGACCTGCCCAACATTCTGAGGGAGCCAGCTCTGCACTGAGTAGGACCTGCCCAGCAGCCCATGGAGCCAGCTCTGCACTGAGTAGGACCTGCCCAGCAGCCCATGGAGCCAGCTCTGCACTGAGTAGGACCTGCCCAGCAGCCCATGGAGCCAGCTCTGCACTGAGTAGGACCTGCCCAGCAGCCCATGGAGCCAGCTCTGCACTGAGTAGGACCTGCCCAGCAGCCCATGGAGCCAGCTCTGCACTGAGTAGGACCTGCCCAGCAGCCCATGGAGCCAGCTCTGCACTGAGTAGGACCTGCCCAGCAGCCCATGGAGCCAGCTCTGCACTGAGTAGGACCTGCCCAGCAGCCCATGGAGCCAGCTCTGCACTGAGTAGGACCTGCCCAGCAGCCCATGGAGCCAGCTCTGCACTGAGTAGGACCTGCCCAGCAGCCCATGGAGCCAGCTCTGCACTGAGTAGGACCTGCCCAGCAGCCCATGGAGCCAGCTCTGCACTGAGTAGACCCGCCCAACAGTCTGAGGGAGCCAGCTCTGCACTGAGTAGGACCTGCCCAGCAGCCCATGGAGCCAGCTCTGCACTGAGTAGGACCCGCCCAGGGGCCCATGGAGCCAGCTCTGCACCGAGTAAGACCCGCCCAGGGGCCCGCAGCACGCTCACACTCACCTGGTCGCCCTGGTTGGTGTGCCGGACGAGGAACCTCAGGAAGTTGAACCGGGAGCATTTGCGGATGAGGATCAGGTCAGAAGACCCGTCTCCCAAGTGGGCGGCCGGGGACAGGCCCCGGGGACTCCGGGGACAAGCACAGGACATGTTGGCGGCGTTGATGGCCAGGAACTTCCCACAGATGACCTTCCACTCCTCCACCTCCTCTGCAGCAGAAGGAGCAGCGGGCCACGCTCAGGGTCCATCCGGGCCACGCCCAGGACGGGCCACGTGCACCCACGTCTGGCGTGGACACTAAGGAAACTGCCACGGAGGCCATGTGCTCACCGGGACACTTCCTGGCCCTCCCCCGGGGCCCTGACCTGGCCGCCCTCGGACTCTGTGGCCTGGGAGCCGAGAACGAGCCACATTTTCTCACGACTGAGATCAAGGGTAACATCCGGTGACTGTGCAGCCCAGGGCCGTGCCCACTCCTGTCCCAAGGCATCCCCACAAGCCCTCAGAGAGACACCGCGGGCCCACTCCGGGGGCCAAGACCAGGCGCACCAGCCACGGCGATGCCGAGCGGCTCCCAACCTCTCTTCCCTGGGGCCAGGCCCGCAGCCTGTGCAGCTGCTGGAGCGACAGCAAGGGGCCGGCACGGCGGGAGGGGGTTGAGGACTCCCGCCTGACCTTCACGGCACAAGGGGCCCGAGAGGACAGAGCCGCCCGACGTACCCGAGCCCTCCAGACCGTACAGCGACCGCTTCTGCTCCTCCTCCAGCTGCTGCTTGCTCTGCCTGCAGACGAAGCACCTGGAACACAAGAGGCCGCTCGCTTCCGCCCGGGCAGGGCGCC